ACACTTAAGTTGTTCTGTGTTTTCACATTTATGACTATAGTAAAAATGAACAGTGTAGATAAATCTTTAATTCCCATTTTGCTCTTTTATGTATATGTATGTTTGCACATACATGCACATACATGCTTATGTTGATGTATTTATCTGTGTTTTTGTGGGTGTGCAAGCATGTGTGTGCATGTGGAGGCCAGAGAACAACCTGCTGTTGTTTCTCAAAGCTGTCTACCTGTGTTTGAGGTGGAGTCTCTTCCTGGAGCTTGCTGATTAACCCACAGTCAGCAGGATCCACCTGTCTCCTCCTCAGCACTGCAGTTACAAGTGTGTGCCCCCACACTGAGCTTTGTGCTTTGGCTTATCTTGAGAATGAGTTATGCAAAATGGAATTGCTGCCACAAAGGTAATTTTTAAAAGCGATTTTGCTATGTATTGCCAAATCGCTGTTCCATTGTTAACATGACTAGATTTTTTAAGTTGACAATTACTTTTATGAACTGCAATATATAAATAGCTAAATCGAGTAGACTATAAGATACCCTGCCTTTCAACAGATGTATTAAGTTGCAGCAACCAAAACAAACTACAGGAATTCACTGGTAGTTTTAGAGAGTACTAGCCTTCTATACTTAAAAAGTAATTCCTCATTTGAATCTAGCTTCAAGATCAAAGAGACAAATTTTAAACACATGCTTTCAGGTCAGGGGAACCCAATGAATCTCCAATTTCATTGAATTTCATCTGTGTCGTAATGACACAAAAAGAAACTTAAATGATGTAAACAGAATACTGGACACATGAAGGTAGCCATCCCTTCATAGCTTTATCTAGAAATCAAGTGAGAGTATCCAGTGCCCGACCTCCTTATGTCACATTACACTTGATGAGTAGAACTAAATTTTACCCACCATAAATTCTTAGATTCTTCTTCAGAGAGGAATGTACACCTACTGATACCTTGAGAGCCTAAGCGGAGAACCCTGTTGAGCTGTTTGTGCTGGCCTATTTGATCCCAGAAACTATGACAGTAAGCATTTGTTCTTTATTACTGCAGTGATTGAATAATGCCCTGACTATGAGGAGAGGATGCAGCCAAACATTTCTTGTGCTGAGATGAAAGACCCACAATTGTGTTTTAATCCATAACATTTTTAACGTACTGAGAATGAGAAATTGAGATGCATAGTAGAAATATTAATATGGCATGTTAGTAACTGATTTTGTCATTTGCTTCTGCCCATCATACTACCATTTACTTGGCATCTTTAAGTATTTTACTGTTGTCTTATCTTTTTCTGCATATCACGTAAATGTATATCTAATTTTTCAGTTTATGTGGGCATATCCTTTTGTTAATAATCTTAAATATTATTTCTTTTACTTTGATAATATTTGGCCATTGGATACTTCTAAATATTTAGGATTTGGAAGGTAAAGTCTTTTTTTTTTTTTTCTTGACATCTCCCTGTCCCCCAACTCACTCTGTGGACCAGGTTGACCTGGAACTCACGGAGGTTGTCCTGCCTCTCTCTCCAGAGGGCTGGGAGTAAAGGTGTGCCCTGTCTCCCTCCCTACTGCTGGCTAGAGGGTAATTATACTTACTCTCATTTTTTTTTGTACTATTATAATATTCCTGACACTGGAAAATTACAGGTAAGTTAATAGGTAGATAATAAACAGAAAATTTCTGGTAAGA